TAACCTCAAATATCGCTTATTTTCATAGAAATCCCTGTTTTTAACCTAAAATATCGCTTATTTCCATAGAAATCCCAGTTTAGAACCACAAATATCGCTTATTTTCATAGAAATCCCTGTTTTTAACCTCAAATATCGCTTATTTTCATAGAAATCGCAGTTTTTCCCTTAAATATCGCTTATTTTCATAGAAATCCCTGTTTTTCCCCTTAAATATCGCTTATTTTCCTAGAAATCCCTGTTTTTAACCTCAAATATCGCTTATTTCCATAGAAATCCCTGTTTTTAACCTCAAATATCGCTTATTTTCATAGAAATCCCAGTTTTTAACCTCAAATATCGCTTATTTTCATAGAAATCCCAGTTTTTCCCCTTAAATATCGCTTATTTTCATAGAAATCCCTGTTTTTCCCCTTAAATATCGCTTATTTTTGTAGAAATCCCTGTTTTTCCCCTTAAATATTGCTTATTTTCATAGAAATCCCAGTTTTTACCTAAGATATCGCCTATTTTTTTAGAAATCCCTGTTTTTCCCCTTAAATATCGCTTATTTTCATAGAAATCCCTGTTTTTCCCCTAAAATATCGCTTATTTTCCTAGAAATCCCTGTTTTTAACCTCAAATATCGCTTATTTTCATAGAAATCCCAGTTTTTCCCCCTAAATATCGCTTATTTTCATAGAAATCCCTGTTTTAAACCTCAAATATCGCTTATTTCCATAGAAATCCCTGTTTTTAACCTAAGATATCGCTTATTTTCATAGAAATCCCTGTTTTTATCCTCAAATATCGCTTATTTTCCTAGAAATCCCTGTTTTTAACCTCAAATATCGCTTATTTTCATAGAAATCCCTGTTTTTAACCTCAAATATCGCTTATTTTCATAGAAATCCCTGTTTTCCCCCATAAATATCGCTTATTTTCATAGAAATCCCTGTTTTTAACCTCAAATATCGCTTATTTTCATAGAAATCCCTGTTTTTCCCCTTAAATATCGCTTATTTTCATAGAAATCCCTGTTTTTAACCTCAAATATCGCTTATTTTCATAGAAATCCCTGTTTTTAACCTCAAATATCGCTTATTTCCATAGAAATCCCAGTTTTTAACCTAAAATATTGCTTATTTTCATAGAAATCCCTGTTTTTAACCTCAAATATCGCTTATTTCCATAGAAATCCCAGTTTTTCCCCTCAAATATCGCTTATTTTCATAGAAATCCCTGTTTTTAACCTAAAATATCGCTTATTTCCATAGAAATCCCTGTTTTTAACCTCAAATATCGCTTATTTTCATAGAAATCCCTGTTTTTCCCCTTAAATATCGCTTATTTTCATAGAAATCCCTGTTTTTCCCCTTAAATATCGCTTATTTTCATAGAAATCCCTGTTTTTAACCTCAAATATCGCTTATTTTCATAGAAATCCCTGTTTTTAACCTCAAATATCGCTTATTTCCATAGAAATCCCAGTTTTTAACCTAAAATATCGCTTATTTTCATAGAAATCCCTGTTTTTAACCTCAAATATCGCTTATTTTCCTAGAAATCCCTGTTTTTAACCTCAAATATCGCTTATTTTCATAGAAATCCCTGTTTTTAACCTCAAATATCGCTTATTTTCATAGAAATCCCTGTTTTTCCCCTAAAATATCGCTTATTTTCATAGAAATCCCAGTTTTTCCCCCTAAATATCGCTTATTTTCATAGAAATCCCTGTTTTTAACCTCAAATATCGCTTATTTTCATAGAAATCCCTGTTTTTCCCCTTAAATATCGCTTATTTTCATAGAAATCCCTGTTTTTAACCTCAAATATCGCTTATTTCCATAGAAATCCCAGTTTTCCCCCTCAAATATCGCTTATTTTCATAGAAATCCCAGTTTTTCCCCTAAAATATCGCTTATTTTCATAGATATCCCTGTTTTTAACCTCAAATATCGCTTATTTTCATAGAAATCCCTGTTTTCCCCCATAAATATCGCTTATTTTCATAGAAATCCCTGTTTTTCCCCTTAAATATCGCTTATTTTCATAGAAATCCCTGTTTTTAACCTCAAATATCGCTTATTTTCATAGAAATCCCTGTTTTTAACCTAAAATATCGCTTATTTCCATAGAAATCCCAGTTTTTAACGTAAAATATCGCTTATTTTCATAGAAATCCCTGTTTTTAACCTCAAATATCGCTTATTTCCATAGAAATCCCAGTTTTTCCCCTCAAATATCGCTTATTTTCATAGAAATCCCTGTTTTTAACCTCAAATATCGCTTATTTTCATAGAAATCCCAGTTTTTAACCTAAAATATCGCTTATTTTCATAGAAATCCCTGTTTTTCCCCTTAAATATCGCTTATTTTCATAGAAATCCCAGTTTTCAACCTAAAATATCGCTTATTTTCATAGAAATCCCTGTTTTTCCCCTTAAATATCGCTTATTTTCCTAGAAATCCCTGTTTTTAACCTCAAATATCGCTTATTTTCATAGAAATCCCTGTTTTTATCCTAAGATATCGCTTATTTTCATAGAAATCCCTGTTTTTAACCTCAAATATCGCTTATTTTCATAGAAATCCCTGTTTTTAATCTAAAATATCGCTTATTTTCATAGAAATCCCAGTTTTTCCCCTAAAATATCGCTTATTTTCATAGATATCCCTGTTTTTAACCTCAAATATCGCTTATTTTCATAGAAATCCCTGTTTTTCCCCTCAAATATCGCTTATTTCCATGGAAATCCCAGTTTTTAACCTCAAATATCGCTTATTTTCATAGAAATCCCTGTTTTTAACCTCAATTATAGCTTATTTTCATAGAAATCCCTGTTTTTAACCTCAAATATCGCTTATTTCCATTTAAATCCCAGTTTTTACCTAAAATATCACTTATTTTCATAGAAATCCCTGTTTTTAACCTCAAATATCGCTTATTTTCATAGAAATCCCTGTTTTTCCCCTTAAATATCGCTTATTTTCATAGAAATCCCTGTTTTTAACCTCAAATATCGCTTATTTTCCTAGAAATCCCTGTTTTTAACCTCAAATATCGCTTATTTTCATAGAAATCCCTGTTTTTAACCTCAAATATCGCTTATTTTCATAGAAATCCCTATTTTTAACCTCAAATATCGCTTATTTTCATAGAAATCCCAGTTTTTCCCCTTAAATATCGCTTATTTTCATAGAAATCCCTGTTTTTATCCTCAAATATCGCTTATTTTCATAGAAATCCCAGTTTTTAACCTAAAATATCGCTTATTTTCATAGAAATCCCAGTTTTCAACCTCAAATATCGCTTATTTTCATAGAAATCCCTGTTTTTAACCTCAAATATCGCTTATTTTCATAGAAATCCCTGTTATTAACCTAAAATATCGCTTATTTCCATAGAAATCCCTGTTTTTATCATCAAAATATCGCTTATTTTCGTAGAAATCCCTGTTTTTCCCTCAAATATCGCTTATTTTCATAGAAATCCCTGTTTTTAACCTCAAATATCGCTTATTTTCATAGAAATCCCTGTTTTTAACCTAAAATATCGCTTATTTCCATAGAAATCCATGTTTTTAACCTCAAATATCGCTTATTTTCATAGAAATCCCTGTTTTTAACCTCAAATATCGCTTATTTTCATAGAAATCCCAGTTTTTCCCTTAAATATCGCTTATTTTCATAGAAATCCCTGTTTTTAACCTAAAATATCGCTTATTTTCATAGAAATCCCTGTTTTTAACCTAAAATATCGCTTATTTCCATAGAAATCCCTGTTTTTAACCTCAAATATCGCTTATTTTCATAGAAATCCCAGTTTTTAACCTCAAATATCGCTTATTTTCATAGAAATCCCAGTTTTTCCCCTTAAATATCGCTTATTTTCATAGAAATCCCTGTTTTTCCCCTTAAATATCGCTTATTTTTGTAGAAATCCCAGTTTTTCCCCTTAAATATTGCTTATTGTCATAGAAATCCCAGTTTTTACCTAAGATATCGCATATTTTTTTAGAAATCCCTGTTTTTCCCCTTAAATATCGCTTATTTTCATAGAAATCCCAGTTTTTCCCCTAAAATATCGCTTATTTTCATAGATATCCCTGTTTTTAACCTCAAATATCGCTTATTTTCATAGAAATCCCAGTTTTTCCCCCTAAATATCGCTTAATTTCATAGAAATCCCTGTTTTTATCCTCAAATATCGCTTATTTTCCTAGAAATCCCTGTTTTTAACCTCAAATATCGCTTATTTTCATAGAAATCCCTGTTTTTAACCAAAAATATCGCTTATTTTCATAGAAATCCCAGTTTTTCCCCTAAAATATCGCTTATTTTCATAGATATCCCTGTTTTTAACCTCAAATATCGCTTATTTTCATAGAAATCCCTGTTTTTCCCCTTAAATATCGCTTATTTTCATCGAAATCCCTGTTTTTAACCTCAAATATCGCTTATTTTCCTAGAAATCCCAGTTTTTCCCCTTAAATATCGCTTATTTTCATAGAAATCCCTGTTTTTAACCTCAAATATCGCTTATTTTCATAGAAATCCCTGTTTTTCCCCTAAATATCGCTTATTTTCATAGAAATCCCAGTTTTTAACCTCAAATATCGCTTATTTTCATAGAAATCCCAGTTTTTAACCTCAAATATCGCTTATTTTCATAGAAATCCCTGTTTTTAACCTCAAATATCGCTTATTTTCCTAGAAATCCCAGTTTTTCCCCTTAAATATCGCTTATTTTCATAGAAATCCCTGTTTTTAACCTCAAATATCGCTTATTTTCATAGAAATCCCTGTTTTTATCCTCAAATATCGCTTATTTTCATAGAAATCCCTGTTTTTAACCTAAAATATCGCATATTTTTTTAGAAATCCCTGTTTTTCCCCTTAAATATCGCTTATTTTCATAGAAATCCCAGTTTTTAACCTAAAATATCGCTTATTTTCATAGATATCCCTGTTTTTAACCTCAAATATCGCTTATTTTCATAGAAATCCCTGTTTTTAACCTTAAATATCGCTTATTTTCATTGAAATCCCTGTTTTTAACCTAAAATATCGCTTATTTCCATAGAAATCCCTGTTTTTAACCTCAAATATCGCTTATTTTCATAGAAATCCCTGTTTTTCCCCTTAAATATCGCTTATTTTCATAGAAATCCCTGTTTTTCCCCTTAAATATCGCTTATTTTCATAGAAATCCCTGTTTTTAACCTCAAATATCGCTTATTTTCATAGAAATCCCTGTTTTTCCCCTAAATATCGCTTATTTTCATAGAAATCCCAGTTTTTAACCTCAAATATCGCTTATTTTCATAGAAATCCCTGTTTTTCCCCTTAAATATCGCTTATTTTCATAGAAATCCCTGTTTTTCCCCTTAAATATCGCTTATTTTCATAGAAATCCCTGTTTTTAACCTCAAATATCGCTTATTTTCATAGAAATCCCTGTTTTTAACCTCAAATATCGCTTATTTTCATAGAAATCCCTGTTTTTAACCTCAAATATCGCTTATTTTCCTAGAAATCCCAGTTTTTCCCCTTAAATATCGCTTATTTTCATAGAAATCCCTGTTTTTAACCTAAAATATCGCTTATTTTCATAGAAATCCCTGTTTTTATCCTCAAATATCGCTTATTTTCATAGAAATCCCTGTTTTTAACCTAAAATATCGCTTATTTTCATAGAAATCCCAGTTTTCAACCTAAAATATCGCTTATTTTCATAGAAATCCCTGTTTTTCCCCTTAAATATCGCTTATTTTCATAGAAATCCCTGTTTTTAACCTAAAATATCGCTTATTTTCATTGAAATCCCTGTTTTTAACCTAAAATATCGGTTATTTTCATAGAAATCCCTGTTTTTAACCTAAAATATCGCTTATTTTCCTAGAAATCCCTGTTTTTCCCCTTAAATATCGCTTATTTTCATAGAAATCCCTGTTTTTCCCCTTAAATATCGCTTATTTTCATAGAAATCCCTGTTTTTAACCTCAAATATCGCTTATTTTCATAGAAATCCCTGTTTTTAACCTCAAATATCGCTTATTTCCATAGAAATCCCAGTTTTTAACCTAAAATATCGCTTATTTTCATAGAAATCCCTGTTTTTAACCTAAAATATCGCTTATTTCCATAGAAATCCCTGTTTTTAACCAAAAATATCGCTTATTTTTGTAGAAATCCCTGTTTTTCCCCTTAAATATCGCTTATTTTCATAGAAATCCCTGTTTTTCCCCTTAAATATCGCTTATTTTCATAGAAATCCCTGTTTTTAACCTCAAATATCGCTTATTTTCATAGAAATCCCTGTTTTTAACCTAAAATATCGCTTATTTCCATAGAAATCCCAGTTTTTAACCTAAAATATCGCTTATTTTCATAGAAATCCCTGTTTTTAACCTAAAATATCGCTTATTTTCATAGAAATCCCAGTTTTTCCCCTAAATATCGCTTATTTTCATAGATATCCCTGTTTTTAACCTCAAATATCGCTTATTTTCATAGAAATCCCTGTTTTTCCCCTTAAATATCGCTTATTTTCATAGAAATCCCTGTTTTTCCCCTTAAATATCGCTTATTTTCATAGAAATCCCTGTTTTTCCCCTTAAATATCGCTTATTTTCATCGAAATCCCTGTTTTAAACCTCAAATATCGCTTATTTTCATAGAAATCCCTGTTTTTAACCTCAAATATCGCTTATTTTCATAGAAATCCCAGTTTTTCCCCTTAAATATCGCTTATTTTCATAGAAATCCCTGTTTTTAACCTAAAATATTGCTTATTTTCATAGAAATCCCTGTTTTTATCCTCAAATATCGCTTATTTTCCTAGAAATCCCTGTTTTTAACCTAAAATATCGCTTATTTTCATAGAAATCCCAGTTTTCAACCTAAAATATCGCTTATTTTCATAGAAATCCCTGTTTTTAACCTAAAATATCGCTTATTTTCATAGAAATCCCAGTTTTCAACCTAAAATATCGCTTATTTTCATAGAAATCCCTGTTTTTCCCCTTAAATATAGCTTATTTTCATAGAAATCCCTGTTTTTAACCTAAAATATCGCTTATTTTCATTGAAATCCCTGTTTTTCCCCTTAAATATCGCTTATTTTCACAGAAATCCCTGTTTTTAACCTCAAATATCGCTTATTTTCATAGAAATCCCTGTTTTTAACCTAAAATATCGCTTATTTTCATAGAAATCCCAGTTTTTAACCTAAAGTATCGCTTATTTTCATAGAAATCCCTGTTTTTAACCTCAAATATCGCTTATTTCCATAGAAATCCCAGTTTTTCCCCTCAAATATCGCTTATTTTCATAGAAATCCCTGTTTTTAACCTCAAATATCGCTTATTTCCATAGAAATCCCAGTTTTTAACCTAAAATATCGCTTATTTTCCTAGAAATCCCTGTTTTTAACCTAAGATATCGCTTATTTTCATAGAAATCCCTGTTTTTCCCCTTAAATATCGCTTATTTTCATAGAAATCCCAGTTTTTAACCTCAAATATCGCTTATTTCCATAGAAATCCCAGTTTTTAACCTAAAATATCGCTTATTTTCATAGAAATCCCTGTTTTTAACCTCAAATATCGCTTATTTCCATAGAAATCCCTGTTTTTAACCTCAAATATCGCTTATTTTCATAGAAATCCCTGTTTTTAACCTAAAATATCGCTTATTTTCATAGAAATCCCTGTTTTTCCCCTTAAATATCGCTTATTTTCATAGAAATCCCAGTTTTTCCCCCTAAATATCGCTTATTTTCATAGAAATCCCTGTTTTAAACCTCAAATATCGCTTATTTTCATAGAAATCCCTGTTTTTCCCCTTAAATATCGCTTATTTTCATAGAAATCCCAGTTTTTAACCTCAAATATCGCTTATTTCCATAGAAATCCCAGTTTTTAACCTAAAATATCGCTTATTTTCATAGAAATCCCTGTTTTTAACCTCAAATATCGCTTATTTCCATAGAAATCCCTGTTTTTAACCTAAAATATCGCTTATTTTCATAGAAATCCCTGTTTTTCCCCTTAAATATCGCTTATTTTCATAGAAATCCCAGTTTTGAACCTCAAATATCGCTTATTTTCATTGAAATCCCTGTTTTTCCCCTTAAATATCGCTTATTTTCATAGAAATCCCTGTTTTTAACCTCAAATATCGCTTATTTCCATAGAAATCCCAGTTTTCCCCTTAAATATCGCTTATTTTCATAGAAATCCCAGTTTTTCCCTTAAAATATCGCTTATTTTCATAGATATCCCTGTTTTTAACCTCAAATATCGCTTATTTTCATAGAAATCCCTGTTTTTCCCCTTAAATATCGCTTATTTTCATAGAAATCCCTGTTTTTATCCTCAAATATCGCTTATTTTCATAGAAATCCCTGTTTTTAACCTCAAATATCGCTTATTTTCATAGATATCCCTGTTTTTAACCTCAAATATCGCTTATTTCCATAGAAATCCCAGTTTTTCCCCTCAAATATCGCTTATTTTCATAGAAATCCCTGTTTTTAACCTCAAATATCGCTTATTTCCATAGAAATCCCAGTTTTTCCCCTCAAATATCGCTTATTTTCATAGAAATCCCTGTTTTTAACCTAAAATATCGCTTATTTTCATAGAAATCCCTGTTTTTAACCTCAAATATCGCTTATTTTCATAGAAATCCCTGTTTTCCCCTTAAATATCGCTTATTTTCATAGAAATCCCAGTTTTCAACCTAAAATATCGCTTATTTTCATAGAAATCCCTGTTTTTCCCCTTAAATATCGCTTATTTTCCTAGAAATCCCTGTTTTTAACCTCAAATATCGCTTATTTTCATAGAAATCCCTGTTTTTATCCTAAGATATCGCTTATTTTCCTAGAAATCCCTGTTTTTAACCTCAAATATCGCTTATTTTCATAGAAATCCCTGTTTTTAATCTAAAATATCGCTTATTTCCATAGAAATCCCAGTTTTTCCCCTAAAATATCGCTTATTTCCATAGAAATCCCTGTTTTTAACCTCAAATATCGCTTATTTTCATAGAAATCCCTGTTTTTCCCCTTAAATATCGCTTATTTTCATAGAAATCCCTGTATTTCCCCTTAAATATCGCTTATTTTCATAGAAATCCCTGTTTTTAACCTCAAATATCGCTTATTTTCATAGAAATCCCTGTTTTTAACCTCAAATATCGCTTATTTTCATAGAAATCCCAGTTTTTCCCCTTAAATATCGCTTATTTTCATAGAAATCCCTGTTTTTAACCTAAAATATCGCTTATTTTCATAGAAATCCCTGTTTTTATCCTCAAATATCGCTTATTTTCATAGAAATCCCTGTTTTTAACCTAAAATATCGCTTATTTTCATAGAAATCCCAGTTTTCAACCTAAAATATCGCTTATTTTCATAGAAATCCCTGTTTTTCCCCTTAAATATCGCTTATTTTCATCGAAATCCCTGTTTTTAACCTCAAATATCGCTTATTTTCATAGAAATCCCTGTTTTTAACCTCAAATATCGCTTATTTTCATAGAAATCCCAGTTTTTCCCCTTAAATATCGCTTATTTTCATAGAAATCCCTGTTTTTCCCCTAAAATATCGCTTATTTTCATAGAAATCCCTGTTTTTATCCTCAAATATCGCTTATTTTCATAGAAATCCCTGATTTTAACCTAAAATATCGCTTATTTTCCTAGAAATCCCTGTTTTTAACCTAAAATATCGCTTATTTCCATAGAAATCCCTGTTTTTATCATCAAAATATCGCTTATTTTCGTAGAAATCCCTGTTTTTCCCTCAAATATCGCTTATTTTCCTAGAAATCCCTGTTTTTAACCTAAGATATCGCTTATTTTCATAGAAATCCCTGTTTTTCCCCTTAAATATCGCTTATTTTCATAGAAATCCCAGTTTTTAACCTCAAATATCGCTTATTTTCCTAGAAATCCCTGTTTTTAACCTCAAATATCGCTTATTTCCATAGAAATCCCAGTTCTTAACCTAAAATATCGCTTATTTTCATAGAAATCCCTGTTTTTAACCT